TTCCTAATCAAAAGCATGTAATATTGTTGCCAAATGTACAGAAGAATAAAAATACATGAATCAAATGTTTGAAGTATTTGTAAACAATTTTATACAAAGAATAAGTAGCAAACAACAAAAATTCAAAACAGATGACAAAGGAAGCTGAATTCTAGTTTACAGAAATTCAATTCATTACACCCCTCCCGTAGCTTTATTTTGCATTCATCCCATTCATATACTATCTTTAGCTCTTTAAATTTATTGTCTTTTTTATGTCTAATCAACCGATACACCTATGACTTTCTTGGTCTTCCATTTGATCTTCTTAACATACATACATACATACAGCAACTAGAGCATGTAGCGATGGCCCAATACCATCCTAAATTCTGGGCCCGCTACGTGGACGATACATTTGTAGTCATAAAAAGGGATCAAAAAGCTGGCTTTGTGGAGGTACTCAACTCGGTATACCCAGATATTCAGTTTACAGAGGAGGAGGAGAACCAGGGGGCGCTGGCATTTTTGGACGTGCTGGTACGTCGCCGGCCAGATGGGACCCTGAGTACGGAGGTATACCGTAAGCCAACCCACACGGATAGGATACTACACTTTACCAGCAACCATCCGGTGGCCCACAAAGCCAGCTGCATAAGAACATTATTTGGACGGATTGATTCCCACTGCAGCATGGCATTTCGGTTTTCTCTCCTTTCTGCGGTAGATGAGGCGCATACGTCTACGTTACCCATGGGGTGTCCTAAGTAGTCTGCGGTGTCACACGGGGGGTTTGGGGCTCTTGTTGGTCCCTGTCCCCTCGGCCGCGGTGTCTGCTGGGCTCAGTGCGAAGGTATGTAGTTGTTACAGAGCCTCCGTTGCCGATCCGACGACGCACTGCACAAGGTGAAAGTGGCCCATAGACCGAGCCAAACGCTGTGCTCCAAAGTGATGCGGCCCAAGGACCCACTCCCCAGCGTGGAAAAGTCGGCGGTAGTTTATAGGATCGACTGTAAAGACTGCCCCGGCAACTACGTGGGGGAGACCTCTAAAAGAGTTAAGACCAGGGTCCACGAACACAAGCTGGCTGTGAAAAGAGGTGAGCAATGCTCCCAGGTGTGGGCCCACATGGCGGAGTCTGGACATTGTTTTGATTTCAACAACGTACGCGTCCTAGCCAGCGACAACACAAAAGGGGGCCGTCTACTCAAGGAAGCTTGGCTCTCGAATGGCGACTCCATCAACCGGCACATCGACCTGTGCCCAGCGCATCTGGCCTTGAAGGCGTGGAGCGCAGGTGACCCCCAACCCCGGCACGGATGGCAGGGGGCCAGGCGGCATACCCCCGTAGAAGAAATAAGGAGGATACAAGCAGATAGAGGAGCGACCACCGACATCTTGGAGAGCTCGCCATCCCCCCACCCCCCACCCCTAGGGAATCAGAGGGGAAGGACCCCCCCGAAGAGAGCCCTGGGCTGCCCCACTGGCAATCTTCGGGGCGCCCAGGTGGAAGAGGAGGACCAGAGACAGAAAGGGACTGAGGGCGAGGGGAGGGGCCGGCTAGGAGCAACAACGACCCGGAAATACCGGAGGGACGGGGGAAAAACCGGACTGACCCCCTGCCGTGAAACGAACTGCCGGTACCAACGAGGGCGGCAGAAGGACAGCTGGAGGCCCAAGGATGATACGGAGACTAGAAATAGTAAAAGTGGGGGGAGGAAGAGAGTGGGAGCACTGGATAGCGATGGGGAAGAGGGCAGAGGATACGGTACAGCAGAGGATGGGGGGGACGACAGGATCAACATGGAGATTACGGGTAGTAGTGAAGAGGGGGGAGAAGAGATAGACAAGGGGGCGAGGGGCCGNAGGACTATAATTAAGGCACAGCCCAATCGCCTGGGACCGGTGACGAGGTCCAGAAGCCGGGCGCAGATGATGGATGGCGTATAAAAGAGACTCTCTCATGGACTGGCACGTAACCCTGACGAAGTCGGAAGGAGTCTGACGAAAGCTTGGTGTAGTTTTGTTTTATGTTTTATGTTATTAAACTTTGTATAGTTTGATATACTCCTGGTGTTCACAGTTTGTTTTTGGAAAGATGATCACACCCAGGAGTCACTGTTTTAGTTTTAGTGTTATTAGAAATACATATATATGTATATATTGTTTTGAATTGACATTTTTGATCTTTCTACATAACCAAAAGCATACAACATATTCAATTCATTTTCTTGCAGGAGACCTTCGCATTTGATAACATTGTCTCTCTCTCTCTCTCTGATTGATCTCACACAATTGTTAACTGCCTTATTCCCACTTCATTATGTTTCTTCTGATATACTTAGCACTCTGTATCACAGACAAGTGCAGTGATATGCTGTCAGATGTCTCTTGCTAAATTGGACTAGAAACAGGCATTCAAGAACACAGAACTCTCATAAACCTCTTTATTATACAAAAGCCAGTGAAGCCACTATGAAAGAATTACAATAACTGCAATGTGTCAAATGCAGACACTGTTTATAGTGCTAATCTGACCATTAAAAATTAGTTTTGCAATTTCCTACTATTTTAAGAAAATATGCAATAATTGTATGACTGCTTGAAAATAGAATACTTTTATTAATCCAATTAATAAAGAGGAGAGGACAATACCAATTCCATTATACATGTAGATACCACTATATCGCTATTTTTTGTAGCTGTATTATGAGGATAGTTTATCTGAACCCCATCTGGGATTGATTTGCTGATTGATTGCTGAGCTTCTGCCCAACTGCCTCTCACATATCTATGCACTGAGGGATTTTTTCCCTCCACAACCTGGTTTAAACCTTTATCTTTCTTTTGCCCCTCAAATATTCCCATTCCTATTTTAGGAGCTATCTTGCTACAGACAGTCTCACAGAGACTGGTTCTCCTTTAAAAGTACTACTCTCCTTTTATTAAATAAAATTGATTTCTCACATCCTGTTTGGTTGGAAAGAATAATAAGATAGGGAAAGCATACAGAGCTCAGACTCTGGAATTCTTTCCAATCCTGAATAATAGCATTGTTGTTGGTCACATGACAAGGGAGGAAGGCAGCACAAGGGAGCATACAACAAAACAACATTCTGTGCTGCTGTTCAGGTGCCTCTTGCACTGCTGCAGTGGGTTTTTGTTTTGTTTTTTTGCAGCACCTGGTGGATCTGGCCCACTTTTAAATTCAACCTTTTTTTACTGGCTTCTCCCCACAACCCTTCCAAATTTGGTCCAGATCTTTTTTGAAAATTATTCTGCTGGCAAACAGAAAAATGGACTGGTTCTAAGCTCTTACATTTCTAATAATTAATTGAAATTGAGTGAAAACATATAGAATATGTCTTCTATTTTTCCCCCCAAACCCCTTAACATTTGAGCAATTAAACAGCCTTTTGTTCGGGGATGGTATAAAGACTTCTGCCATGTGAGGGGGTTAGACTAGACCTCCAGGTCCCTTCCAGCCCTGTGACTTTATGAATATTATCTCCCTTTCCAATCACAGAACCAGGAAGAAAGAGAGTTTAGAATGGATTAGTTAGAAGCATTCCAAGCTACTTCCCAACAGCCTCTCCTATACAGTAGGGATGCTTTGAGAGAATTTATTCTAAAATACTCTTCTCTGTAGCTCCCCACTGGACTGGCTAGTTTTTGAACTTAATCTTTCTTTTGTTGGGTTCTCACACTACAGTACACAAAATATGATCCCATTCTGTATCCGAAGATGCAAAGAAACAAGCAGGATTTACTAAGGTCCCTTTACATAATTTGTATGCAGTTTTATATTGGGTTGGAAAGACTAAAACAAACTGCAACCATAGGACTATTTCTAACATCTAAAAACAGGAACTTAATCTGCCTTTCTTCCTCAGCATATGTAAACTCAGTTAATATGGCAGTGTACCTATCATTTGTTAATACTTGCCTTCCATAGTCCTAGATGTATTTATAATCCTGTCTCTTAACATCTTTTCCAACTACTCTCTGAGCTGCCTTCAGGCTTCTTAATTCTCTCCCCCCCCCCCTTTTGATTATAAAGTGGGCGGAGGCATCCTCCATGACCCTGCTTTGATTAGCAGTTGCAGTTCCATTACTGAATCATCAAAGCTTAATAACGGAATTGGGGTAATACATCTATTACATATTATTGACTAGATTTTAGGAAGCCTCCTGAAAATGTCATATATAATAGGTGGTGAAATTTGAAAATTAACGAAATTATTAATGTTGGAGCATTCCCTAGCCCTATGTAAATTATACTTTAAGAAATCCAGCCCCTCATCCCACCAGTGATGCACAAAGAGAGCAAAACAATGTTAAACTAGGTTAAAATGTGGAATTCTAATTCTGCATTCAAGAGGCTTTTGCGCCACACATTAACCTAACTTAAACTTGCTTGTTTGTATCCAAAAAACATAGTTTGTGAAGTATGGTTTATGGCTTCATTTATAATGCAAACCCTACCAATTCTGGCTTTCACAATTCATAGTGGGTTATATGAACACAGCCAGACTACGATTTTGGGTGGCTTCCCAAACTGAAGCACCCTAACTCACTTTTCAGCAATGCCCTTTCTCCACTCGGAACTGTACCCATCTCGAATCCGCCAGTGCCCTGTTCTCGTCCGGCACATTGAGAGGAGTTGGGAAAAACAGCCCGATCTGATAGATAAGGAAGGATAACCCGAGTTTGGCCCGGATAATTATGTGTTTTCCTCTGCCCCAACTTCCTAGCACTCGATCAGCTGGGATCAAGATAAAAGCATTTATGTGCGCAAATACATCGATCCCGTACGCTCCGCAGAAGTGGCCTGGGAATTTTGTGTTGGCTGCTAGGGGCTCCGATTCCAGTCGCTCATCCAATCCGCGGCTCGCCTTCCTCCCCCACTTCCAGCCGGGCTGGCGCTGCCCACCCCTCCCCTCCCCTCGCGCACAGAGAGAGAGAGAGAGAGAGAGAGAGAGAGAGAGGTCGTGAGAGAGCGCTTTACCCGGCATGCAGCAGGCAGTGCGTTCGCACCAAGATGGCGGCGCCTCTAAATGAGTACGAAAAAGAAGCAGGCTGCGTTCCTGTTTTGCACTCGGAGGTGAGGCCCTATGGGTTTTCGGCTATTTTGCAGCCACAGTTGAGAAAGAAGGATCCGGTCGAGCGAACGACGGGGGAGGAGCAGACACTGGTGGCTGCCACCGCCTTCCTTGACACTCCCTTCTCGGGCGGGGGCGGAGGATGGCCCTGAGGCACGGGAAGAATTGTCAGAGAGAGAGAGAGAGAGAAGCGGCCGGGATTCTTGCTGGGTTATGAGATGAAGGGAATTGGGTGTAGAAACTGTTGTCCCATGTAGCCAGAGGTTGAGGAGAGAGATTTTCTTTCCAGCCATTCCCCTTTTTATTCGGCTCTCCATGCAGAAGTGAAAGGAAGTTGGTTGAGGTGACTATTGTAAGCTTGCGTTCCCCCGGAGTTACCTTTTTCTTTGGTGTCCGAAAGTGTGAAAGCGCCTCTGTTCTCCCAAAGGTGTATATGGGGCACTATGGATGGGGTTGTTCCTTATCTGTTGTGCTCTTGGAGGTTCTGAAACTTTAAAGTTTTACTTTAAAAACATTCTTTGATTTGATAGGTTTATTGATCTACTCTCTTCTAATACAGATGAGACCTGTCTTGATCTATGTTTTTATAAGTATAATTTAAAGTATATAGCAAAAAATTTTTTTGATGGATTTTGATCTGGAAATTACCTGTTTTTTCGAAATCAGTTACTGGGAAACAGTGACCTTTTGGGGCATTTTATCCCATATATTTTTTGTTATAAGGATGATTATATAATGAGCACCTAATGGATGATATTTTGTTGCCCATATCCAGTTGCCTGAAGATAAGCTTAAAATAATAAAACATCAGCAAATTATTTTTATTTTTCTTCCAGAAGATATACAATTAAAACATCTGCTCTTCATTGCATCATGCAAGTTAGCCCCATTCCTTCCAATATTGATACCTATGGCTTGTGCTAACAGAACACTGTAATAGTTTTTGCATGCATATATTTAGAAAAGCCTTCACTAATACGAAATTTGATTTTAGCTCTCACAGATTCTTTAGGATTCTAGCAGTTGCTTTTACAATATGGTAAATGTCTGCAAGACTTTTTCGTTGTTATTTTTAGCTTTTTCCCCTCCTACTATAAGGAAGAACATGCTTCTGCCATTAAAATGATATTATGTCATTAAAAACTGTGCCAAATATCAAGGAGTGTTTGTGGAATATATTTTTCTTCAACAGTTTCAAGTTTTATTCAAGACAATAATTTAAATTTCAAAATCTTATTTTGCAACTTATAATTCTGTATTTTAAATAAGTCTTACAAAATTCAGTCATACTTATTTCTGAAAATACATTTTTAAAATTGTATTGTCTCTCAATGAAAATAGTGCAGTCCAATGGACAGTGGATACACTTTAATCGTACTATGATGAAAATATACACAATAATTCCAGAATCATAACATATTTAGAAAACTATGTTATATTTTATATTGTTAGAATATAGCAATTCTGTTCACTAATATACAGGAATTGTGGAATAGAAGAGATTGTTTTGAATACTTAGTTCATGTGTTGTGAAAATATAGAGATATTTGGAATATGCTTGGAATATTATTTTTCCACAAATCAGAAATTTGTATAATTGTGTCCTAGTGCCCCCCAGATCCAGTAGGAGATAATTGACTTTAACATTGAGACATATTGTCCAGCACACATCTCTATATCACAGTTTCATAGTATTCTGCATTCTGTAAGCTTTAATGACATCACGAGTAATGGCTTGTTACAATGAGCCTTCAGAGGTCAATTTCCATATGCTACAGGCAGCTATAGTTGTGAGGCCTAATTTACAAAGAGAAAAAAAATAATGTCATTCAATGGGCAGAAGGATTATAAAGAAGCTATAAACTCAACAAACGTTTGTATGACAATTTATGCCTGATTTGGAGTTCACGCTATGCTAGATAATATAAGTTGATACATTACCACTTATGAACAATCTATTAAAACATTTTACTAATTGCTTAGAACTAGATAATTGTTATTTCAATAAGCATTAATGATACATATTACATATCACAAATATATATATACAGATACCCCCAGCATACTATGGTACTCATAGTTAATTGGTTCTAGGAGGTGCAATGAATACCAAACAGTTTTTTTCATAAGGAATAATGTAATGAGTCACAAGGCAGCCAACACCGACAAGTTCTATCTTGTGCGTTGAGTACCAAACAAACAATGAATACCAGGACAAAATTTTCACGTCAAATTTTCACGTCAAATTCTACGAGTTTCAAAACAGTTGAGTACCAAGATACCACTGTATAGTGCAGTGATGACGAACCTTTTAGAGACCGAGTGCCCAAACTGCAACCCAAAACCCACTTATTTATTGCCGGGTGCCAGGTGGGAGTGGCCCACTGGATGGGCGTGGCTGTGGTGGTCATGGCAGATTGGGTGGGTGTGACCAAGGTGGGCGTGATCACCTCAATGTTGCTCGTGGGGAGGGACGCCTGTGGGAGCTGGGCAGGGTTGGGGGAGATCCAGGGGGTCTCTGGCAGGTGGGGCGGTGGGCAGGAGGCTCGTCCTGTGGGGTGAGGCAAGGCAGGGCAGGGGTGCCATTGTCACAGGGCAAGGTGAGGCAGGGGCCGGGGCGGCTGCTGCCTGACACCATTGGCCCCTGCACACAGAGGCCAGCGAGCGCATGGGTGCTGGGATGCATCCAGCCATGTGGGACCTCGGCGAGTTAGTGGGCAGCTGGTTGAAGAGGGACAGTTGCCATCTCCGGGGCATGGCGAGCGTGCCCACAGAGAGGGCTCTGAGTGCCGCCTCTGGCATGCGTGCCATAGGTTCGCCATCACTGGTATAGTGGTTTGTTTTCATTTTTATAAAATTTATATCACTTATTTTTTAAAATAAGTGAATTCTGCAGTATGAATTGGTATGATTCTCCAGGCTGAATACAGTGTTTGGATTAAAGACTGGTCATTCACCTCAATGCTATTTAAAAATTGTATAATCATAATGGCAAATAAGCAAGATTAATAAGTGAGTTAAAACTTATATTGAATAAGTTAGTTATGCTAATTAGCTTTCAGTGTCTAAAAACAAATATTTGTTAATGTTCTGTGCTTTCAGAAAATTGTTTGCAGTTAGGCTTTAATAAACATATTTCAACAGCTATTTATCCCAGTTTCTGCAGTGGTTTTTTACAGTTATCTCTTTTTAAAAGAAGTAACAGCTGACCTCAAGTACAGGATAGTTTAATTTACAAATTATACATGCACTCCATTTACATTGACTCCATTTTACTTGATAGGTATTCCTTGACTACAATTGAGCCTGGAATTTGGGTCGTAAGTCATTGTGGCTATTAAGCGAAGTGCCCACGGGATCACTTCATTCAATGAACACATTCCCGGTTCCCTCATTGCAGTCCTTCAGTTACTGCATGGGGATGCCTTGGAGTGGGAGGCCCTGAGAGGCCCAACATCCATGGTAATGTGGAAACCTGCCATAGGTCGGTAGGCCTCAATTGGCTAGGTCTACCAATGCATGATACAGCACTCAATGCAGGTCCACTTATTTTCTCTTACCTTCTGCTGCTAAGATGCATATGTAGCCGATGTCAGGCACAGCTATCTGTAATATGGAAAGTTAGCCAACAAAATGTTTCTGAAGGAAGAAAGAGCTTCCAGACACCATAAACACTGGCACTCGTGTTTTTGAGGGCTCTTTCTACCTCTGGGCAGAAAGGAATTGCAGCACTGGGCTGGAGTAAAGAAGCTCAGATCTTTGTGGTCCCAGCTTCTTTTCTCCAGCTCAGCACTCTCTCTCTCTGCGTAGAATGGCTGCAGATAACCTGGTTGGAAACAAAATCAATCTCAAAGGCAGCCATACCACTCTCTAAGATGCTGGCGGAAAAAGTCCAGAGTGAAATCCAAGTTGGATTTTAATGTGGGCCACTTGCAATACTGATTCCAAATGCCCCATGCTGCAGTTGTCCCATGCTAAAATCCCTCTTGGCTTTCGCCATGGACTTTTCCAGCCGCATCTTTGAGAGCAACAGGGCTGCTTGAGAGCAACAGGGCTGTGTTGGGTGAAATTAACCTGGGAAGCAGCCCTTCTGTCCTCAAAGAGGCTGGCTTAAAAAGATTCTTTCCAAAATGAGTTCCAATGGACCTTCTTCAGTCAGCCCCCAGGAACCAGCTAGGCGGCAGTGACTTGCGACCTTTTCTACCAGTTTCTTCATTGAGTTTCTGGGGAAGTCAGTAGGGAAGATTGCAAATGGTGATCTTTGGCAGCCTGTCATAAGTGCGAACAGGTTTCCTAGAGTCCATATTCCAATCAAGTGACCACCGGGGGGGGGGGGGGGG